TTTTTTTGAATGCAATGATTGATAATTAGTATTGACACTACCGAATATATACAAACATTTATATATGTCTATTTACATCATATATACTTTATGATAGACATATTCTAAGTTAAAATTTAGTAATTTTGGTTCAAGATTCAAAATTTAAGACTATTGAATGATTAAATTGTTAAGTTTTACCAAACCAACAATAATGTAGTAAGTCACATTATTTTGTAATGGAAGATTATAAAAATATTAAGTTATTTTGTAAGAAAATACAATGTCTAAAAAATTTTATTTTGATATATTTTTACACACAATAGAGAATATCAAAAGAAATTGTGATATAGATATAGTTATATTGTCCACTACATTTGATCCACGAAAACGCACAGAGTGTGTTGTTACATGGGTTCCTTGTTACATTCCAAATTTTTTTGGATACATTAACCTTTATAATTGTCTCACCTTAGGGACAAAGTTAATTGGAAAATTGTCCATTATAGCAACACATTGTCTTTACAGCTTCACAAAGTTACCCAACCTCTAATGCTTCTTCTTAGACTGTCACACTTACACAACAAAGCTATACTTCTGTCCACAAAACACTATCCACAAAACACATACAACTCTTCATTGAAATCATATCTGACACAAGCTCAAGAAAACAACAAAGCTATACTTCTGTCCACAAAACACTATCCACGAAACATATATAACTCTTCATTGAAATCATATCTAACACAAGCTCAAGAAAATAAAAACACAACTAACATTTGTTATTCTCGCAAACAAGAATCGCATGCAAATCCCAAAGAGCAGCATATTCAAAGCCTCAAATAATTGTCCCTGATTCGCAGCACCGTCACCGTACAAATTAAATATCACAGCTTTTTCCTTCGAATAATTTTGAGCAAAACCCAAACCACATCCCAATGGAATCTGAGCACCAACAATCCCATCTACACCGTAAAACGAAGCATCCTTCTTATAGAAATGCATAGATCCTCCTTTACCATTAGAGCAACCTTTTTTCCTCCCCATAAGCTCAGAGAAAGCATCAACAAGCTCACCTCCACGACCAATGAAAGTACAATGGTCATGATACGATGTAATAATCACGTCTTTTTTAGTAATCGCTGCCTCCATTCCGACACCTAAAGCTTCCTTACCGTCGTATAAATGACAGAACCCACAGATTTGTTTCGCCTTGTAGAGTGAATTTGCGGCGATCCCAATCCTCTGCATCCGACCCATGTCACGAAAGAAAGAGAGGATCTTCTCCGAGGAAATCTCGACGGAGCGTGACGGTGCTTCGCATAGATGCATTTCTTCGCGCAGTGAGAAAAACCACCAGAAAAAGGAAGAACTAAGAAATCGCTGTAACCGAGGGATAGGAAGGTCATTGTAAGTGGAAAAAGTGTGTTTGTTTTTAAAGTGTCTTAAAATGTAAGATATCTACAAGAAAGTGTGCCTCACGGTAAACAACTTTTTTTTCTTTTTTTTTGTTACTGGAAAAAAAAGAAAGGAAAAGAGCTTGGTGACAAAAAAAAAATTGGAAAAAAGGAAAAGAGGTAAAAAGAAACTTCAAATCAAAACACGTGGGCCTGAAGCCCAACATAAACGATAATAGTTTTCTATTTCACAACGGTCACCAAAAATCTCCTCTTTAAAAGTAGCAACGATAACCTTTTTCTGGGTATTTCTCACAAATTCTCTTCTTTCGCTTAAGTTTTTCCAAGCGATTTATTTGGAGCGATGACGAGTTTTCTTCAGAGGTTTTCTAAACTTCTTTTTATATCCAGAGTATCGATTTAGTTTTTTGATCTCGCAAATTCAAAACCCCTCTTTTCAATTTCAATTTTGTGCATCTTTTGAAAGATTTAACGTTTGTTGTTACAAATTAGGGTTTCTATTTATTCGGTGTGCTTTGATTTTGAAAAAAAGCCCTCTTTTGGGTCTGCGATTTTTTCGGTCCTAGGGTTTCTTAATGACGTTTAAAAGAAAAGATTTTGGTTCTTGTTTAGTTTCTGATATGGATTCTAAGATTTCTTTTAGACTTTCACAATGATGTTTTTTCTGTATATTAGAAACCCCTTGTTTGATCCAACGAATTGACAATAAATTCTGCTCTG